TACAGAAAACCTTTCAAACTGGGGAGGTAATGAATGCCAGAAATGGTGCAGCTGATGTCTTTGTCATTGCTATGAGTCACAATCTGTGTTTACGAAACAACTACTTTGAGCTCAATTATGGAATCATTGATAAATCTGAAAAAGTGTGTTTTAACACCATAGAAGTGAAAATGGAACCCCTAAAATCAATTGGCCATAGTAGGATGAAAGTCTTTTAATCACTGCTGTCTCATCCTTTGTTGGTTGTGCCTAAAATACCATGGCTGAGTGAAGAAATGTACAAGCCTTTTTCATGTGATGCCTTTCCAGCTTGGACCTGGGCTCATAGTTCACTGGCTTTTGTAATTAATCAGTAATACATAGTTTGATTCTTGTAGGTTCCAGTGGAATTTATACACGTGCTAAGTATATCACATGTATCATATAAAATTTGTTCTTGCGGGTCTTTTAATAAATTTAAGAAGTTAACACTCCAGATAGGTTCTAAGTGAGTTTTATCAGAATCTTGGAGTTGGATGTAACTCCAACAAGACTGCTTATCTATTCTGTGACTGCAGTGGATAACTATCCACTTAATAAACTTGAAAATGGTTTTGAAAATCCCATTAGCACTTACTCATTTCTTTCACACTTACAATTCAAAATGTGCCCTGTGGGCCCATTGAAAGTCATCTGACCATATATCTGCAGGGTTAGGATGAGAACAGGTGAATAAAGACTGCAAATATTCAATAATTTTTAATTACAGGTGATAGAGCGATTATTAGAAGCATTTTTTGAATTCACATAACATTGGAAGACTTAAGTTTTTATTATCTTGTTATGCGCCAATTAATCTCTGAAGAAAAAATGACCCCTGATGTAAGATTAATTGCTATGGAGTTTCATACTTTCACCCACTTCTGGTCTGCACCTTTAGAAGCATGGGAAGAGAGGTTAATCCATGTTACAGGGAGCAACTTGATGATTGGGCCCAGTAAAGATATCCATGGTAATTAGTGTATGATCTTGCAATGTCTGACATTTACTAATCTAAAACCATCAAAGCTCTGATAATAGAAAACTAAATGTTAATTTTCGATTCTGATCATTTAAATTATGCTCATGCATCATCTTCTAGGAGCATTTGTGAGGTGTAATTTAATAATATTTTTTCCACCTACCGGTCACACAATAGGTAAATTAAAATTAAAGCATTGAGTTGGAGATGTCTTTACCATCATTAACAAAACAATTGTGCAGTTAACAATTGGTTTATTTTTTGTTGCATAATGCTGGTGGTACCTAGAGTTTTGCTTATCAATTTCAATTTATATTATTCATAAACTGGGAGAAATGCATAATTGAATAATATATTCTCTCATGTGCTGTTTTCTAATTTCCTGACTTAATCCCTATGAAACCCTCTTAGTTGTGCTCTCAATGAATATTTATCTCACATTCACTTGATTTTGGCCTTCTTCCTAACATACAAAGGTTCCTGTAGTAGCATGTGTAAAACCAGGATGTGACAAATGTGGTACCATATCTTTCACTTAGCTACCCGGAGTTAAAATACCCACTCCACAGATGATGGTGTTAGATCTGCATTCTGTAGCAGTGCAAAAGTACACCTGAAGTCAAAAGTGAACAGATCTTCCTGTGAAAGGGCTGTGGCAACCTCCTGTCAAGTGTCACAGATGTGATTAGATCAGTGAAAGCTGAGCCTCACATTGATGCTAACCATCAAATCCTGAATTTCACTACTTGTGAAAATCAATGTCTTGCTCCTGCTTTCTGTATGTATAGGACCATGAGATTCTGGCTTTAAGATATAAAGAAAAATGAAGTCACAAAAAACAGCACCAGTGAAGATTTAGATTGGATATTAGGAAATATTTCTTCACCACAAGGATTGTCAAGCACTGGGGTAGGCTGCCTAGGAAAGTAGTGGAATCACCATCCCTGGGGGAATTTAAAAGATATGTAAATGTGGCGCTTAGGTATATGGTTTAATGGTAGATTACAGTTGGACTCAATAATCTAAAGGCTTTTTTCCAACATAAATGATTCTATGAAAATAAATCTGAAATAGTATAACTTATTCTTTTCTTGGCCATGTTTCTTGGTGCCCCATGTTATTGGAGTCATCTGTGCTCTTCTCATGTGCTGTATTGGAAGGCTTTTGAGTGTGACAGAGATACATTCATGGAGGAACTATTATTGAAAGAATGTGGCATTCTGAGGATCTTTGAGTACGTTTGAAGAGAAGCTGAGCTAGTGTCACTTGTCTAAAACAAGTGCTGCATTCACCATGATCTCACCTAAGCCTTCCACCATGCACCAGCAGAGGTTATAGGAAATGACATCTCTCATTTCTATTGCTGTTAACACACACATTCATTATTTTGTAATGCCAAGTGTAAATGGAACATGTCAAGGCTGAAGCCTAAAATATCTTTTTTTGGCTTTGGTTTCTGCAGTATGCACATACAGCATCCTTCAATTATGTTACTGCACAGAATCATGTTTAAGACTGCTTCAGTGCTCTCTCTGAACTGGTAATATGAAAGAAATAAAGTACAAAAGACACAGCTGGAAGCTGCGAGCTTGCTTGCATGTCTTGTATGGGTGGATGTGAAAAGTTACATGTTTCTATTTCAGTCCAATGGCCACTGTTACAGTGTGTTTTCCTCTTTTTAGTTTGACTTCTTTCTTTAGTGGCCATATAATTTACTTTAGGACATGGATTACATATGGACTTTGCATTTTTACTTTGTTTTCATCCTTTGATTTTATGTGATGCAAAAATTTAAAGCATCAGTGCACAAAAAATGCATAATACTTTGATGAAAACTTAATGCCAGAACTCTCACTCCTTGTCCTTTGGTCTCTTTCCCTACTTCATCAATGTACACCTGGTCCAGAGCTAATCCCACCCTTTGGAAAGGGGAGTAGGAGATGGGTGAGGTGAGATGCTGCTTAGAGCAATTATGAACCTGCTGCATGCAGGTTCTCTGTCAGAAATCCCCCCTGAGGGTGAGTTCCATAGGCAGTGCCGGCAGCTCTGGGATTCAAGTTTGACTGTTCTCCGCATTTGCTCAGGCAGGAGCTCTGTGGTCTTTTTCTTGCCCAGCATGGAGGGAATGTGTTCTTAAACAAGACTCTGAAAGTCCATTGACTTTCAATTGAGAATGAAAGTGATAAATTTTATTGCACAGAAAAATGTTTTATGCTTGAGTTTTCTGGCATCAGTTCCTGTGACTTTTGAGAATAGATAATAACTCATTCTAGAGCTTATTTAATGCTGATGAAAGTGCTGGGTTTTAAAGAACTTGCACATGGTGAGGTTGTTCCACAATTTTCTGTTGTAGGTTTGTGTGTTGATCTGAAGAGTGCTGGCTGCTCTCTACAGGTGTTTGAATTAAAATCTGCATTGTTATGGAGTAATAGTATGTGAAAAGTTGATTATCCAATTTAGAATAATAAAGCAGGGTGGCGATCTTGGATCTCTTGAACGTGTGGGTTGTCATTGACTTCACAGATGACATGATTTCGTCATTTTGCCATGAGGTACTTGGCATACTTACATTGCTAAAATGAGAAACAAAGTTTGATGTGATTAAAGTAACTTGGAGTGCTGAGATCTATGGAAGGATGTCTCTTTCTGTCTTAGGGTGATGCAAAGTGGATTTCTATTGTTTCAAGCTAAGCAAGTACCTTTTGTCCAAGTTCTGTAAATACTCTTATTGTGCTTGCTCCAGGTTTGCTGTGACTAGTGAGTCTTCTCATCTTCAGTGCTAACTGGTTTAAAAAATTGTATTGTTTTATTGTCCCTATGTGCATCATCTAAGGAAATCTTCTTGTCTTCATGCTAACTGGTTTAAAAAATGGTATTGTTTTATTATGCCTATGTGCATCATCTAAGGAAATGGGCAGACAACATTTGACCAAGACATGGAATTTTTTCTCTCTATGAATAATTTAAATTCCTTAATTGAAGCACTGTTTTTTTCTTTAAAAAACAGGTAAATCAACTCCTCAAGAAAGAATGTAGAATGCCATCATTAAAGTGTTCTTCAGGCCTGCCATTTAAATTTGCAAGGAAACCCATTCCCTAAAGGAATAAAAAAGGGCAGGATTGGTGGCCAAAATGTCAGGGTAAGTTAGTCACCAGAAAAATCTTTCATTCATGGAATTAATAAATAAGGGAGAACTGTAAAAGATGTGCTGCTGGGTTTTGCCACAAAAATGAAATAAAAGAAATTGCAAAGCTGGCTTTCTGACAAAATGTCACTTCCAGTTTGAAGGATGGTTTAAAATTGAATACAAAAACTGCTAATCAGTTTTGTTCTCATTTGAGTTTGTTTGTGCCTTCTATGAATATTTTTAGATCTGAAGGCTTCCTTTATCAGAATATCCCTGGAGAGCTCTCTTCCATGCAGAAAGCTTGGCCTACAGAGTCCTATTTATTTGAAGCTGGTCTAGTGCCACTTTCCCTGGCTTGCTGGAGCATACGAGGTACTGGTGGTATCCCAAACAAATAGGAATTTGGACAGGCAGGATCCTTGTAGGGCTCAGATAGCCCTCCTTCTCCTTCTCCTTTACTATTTGTAGTAATGAAATTTGTGCCTTTTGCCTTTAGGAACTGAACTGTTAAAAGAGAAGTCTGCATGTTTAAATAAGCCTCAACTTTCAATGTGACACTTTATTTTTGGCTTGTTCATTATTTGCCTTTGCCTAAAAAGCATCTCTCTAGATACTGTGGCCTTACCAAGCTCATTCTGAGTAGCTGAAGAGAACAAGAGCAAAAGGATATTTTCTTTGTTTATGGAAACATATAGAAAAAGCACTCCTTTTTTTACTGTTTAAAAAACCCACCCTAGTGTAACCACTTGTCCTAGTTTGAAAAGACAGGAGTCTGTGAAGGAAGGCAGGAGCCTCCCGTGAAATGGAAAAGATAAACCCCCTCCCTCCGAATTATGACAATTTCAAAATTAAAAGGCTCTCAGGCAAAGATATGGGAATGGGAATAACAGTTCTTTACTAGGAAAAAAACAAAATTAAAAAAAGTAATTAGTACAAACAAAACTAGTGATGGAGTCAGAAACCTGACGCCCTGAGTAGTCAGGGTGTTGGTAATAGTCCAGTTAAATGGTGGCTGCTCCTCCTGGAGTGGCAGATGGAATGCTGCTGAAGGGGTGATCTGTAGAAGGGTGGAGTTTTCTCTGAAGGTCTGGTGATAGAGTAGATGGGCCTGGTTTTCGTCTGGGGATTCAGCGGGGAAGAAGCTGCCCCTCTGGGAATCCAGCAGAGAAGATGCTGCTCCTCTGGGAATCCAGTGAAGAGGCTGTTCTGATGTGCCAAAAATGCTAATTTTATGCAGGTAGGGATGCTTGGCTCCTCCCTCTGGGTGGAGCATCTCACAATGGGATGATGTAACTTTACCAGTCATGCAGTGAGTCATTCAATGGCCCATTAACAGAAGAGATCTCCCCAGAGGGAGACATTGTTCTTGGAAGAGATGAGAACACTGCCCAACTTAACAGAAGAAGATACCAGCTCCACCTCCAACAGATGGCAAATAGAATACATGCTTATCTTACAAGCCAGGACACCACTAAAATCAGTAAAGGTTTTGTTATGGGAGTGCTTTAAAATCAGTTCACTAAGATGGAAGCCTCTGAAGTGTCCTTTTTTGGGCACACAGGGACTCATGCAGTAAGAATGAACATTTGCACCCACACATATCATGAAATGGGTGTGGTTTGTTCTCTGAATGCTTCAGGTGAGCTCTTTGAGAGGATCAGAGGATCTCATAGCATTCACTCAAGTGTCCAAACTCTGACTTTTCTTTCTCTTTCTCTTCTCTTACTCAGGAGTAACTGTTAGCTAATTCCTATCATGTAAAGTGGTTTTCAGGAAGAAAAGAATCACATCTAGGCTCTATTCTAAACGTGAAAGATCTGTAGGTCCATAGATTTCTACTTGGAAGGAAGCTTTAATAGTTTTCAGTAACATCCCTGACCCTCTTTATTTTGCATTATGCCATAGTACAATTCATGTAATGTTTTTTTCCTGGAATATATATACCATAAGTTTGTTAGCATAACAGTAGTTATGGAATGTCATACATGGTATGCATGATGCTACATGGATGTTTATTCTATCCTTCCAATCTTACCCTAACTATTTGAAATTAGAAAAATAAATTTTACAATTACAGTTTATCCCCTAGACAATGGCACCAGCATAGCATATGACCTCCTAACTATTCTGAATTAGCTTCACTTGAATTTAACGATATCTTCTCTGCTGTTTTGTAAATACAGCAGGGCAGTGAATCTGCTCTGGTCAGTGCTTGCTGAGTGTTTAGCCAGAGTCCAGCCTGTACTCATAATGACTTGATTTTCTTGTTCTAGCAGTTTGACCAGACATAATTACAGCGCCTTCAAAAGACTGTATTCTCATTTTACATGAACAGGACATGAATTAGACTAGAATCCAAATGCTGTACCACTGTGTAATCAAGGCATCTTTGTATTCCTGTGGAAAGGACTGTGTTCAGAATGAATTGCTATTTTGTTACTGTTACAGTAGTACAGCAGTACAGTTACAGCAGTGGAAGTGAAATGCCTGGGTTATCCACTGCAGTCACAGAATAGATAAGCTGCATTTTAGTGTCAAAATGTGAATCAGTTTTGCTGTCTGGCCTGTTGTAAGCAGGGTCTACTACTGGTACCTTGCTCTGCTAAGTACCACTTAAATGGGCAGGGACTGGTCATGTGGCTAGTCTCCAGGTTAGGTCCTGCATGACTCTCTTGCAGCTGTGAAAGCTGGGCCAGGACTTGGAATTTGATGATCCTTATGGGTGGCATCCGGTTCAGGATATTCTATGATTCTATGACTTTGGACTCTTTGGCTCAAGGGACAGCATCTCAGATTCATTCACCACTTATTGTAAATGCAGGTGAAGCCAGTGGGAAGCAATGATGATGTCTGACTTCAGTTCAGAAGGCTGAATGATTTCTTTATTATAACTGTACTATAATACATTAATATACTATTTAAAGGAGATACTAAAACTACATACCTGCTTTTTCTAACTACCAAATCTAACTCACAACTCATGACCCTCTTCTTGTGAGTCCAGACACCAGTGGATTGGATTGGCCATCAGGCTGAAACAGTCCTCACCAGAATCCAATCAAGCAATCACCCCAGGTAAACAATTCTCCAAACACATTCCACACGGGAAAAACGAGGAGCAGAAATAGAAATTGTTTTCTCTTTCTTCTCTCTGTGAACTGCTATGAAAAGTCCTGAGAGAGTAAAATGTGCCTGCCACATATCACCCTTTTAGTATAAATACATTTTAAAAACCCTGCATTTGCAATTCTTCTGCAGGGCCCTTGCAAAAGAGAGAGCAAACACATCTCAAGAGGTTCCCTTATCAATTTGCCAGTTATCAATCAGATGCTGATGTGGAATGATCAAGGAGATCCTTTACCTGCAAAACATCTACCTCTATTAAATCTCTAAAACAAAGCTTACAATACAAAAACCCAAACAACAATTAAAAGAATGCTCAAGTTTCAAAGTCCAGACAGTTGAGTCTCAGGAGAAGGTGCCCATTGACTGGAGATGTTGGTGTTGACATCCTTAAAAGTCCTTCTCAATCCTGAAACAGAACAACTGACGAAAGTCCAGCATCAATTTAAAAAAACAGAGAAAAACACCAAATGTGACTTCATATAATTATCAAACACCAGAACACTGAATGTCATCCCAGAGTCTGCAACAGCTGATAAAACTCAAATGAGTAGAGCTGGAAATCATCTCCGGATCATGATTTTCCAATCTCCCCTGATTTTGATGCAAAAACATCTGGGCTGATTGTCAGCCATTCAAACATACCTTTCCTGTGCAAAAACCATCACCAAATTCAAAAGAACTGAGAAAATCTCTGGAATGACATGGACAGAGCTCTTAATTCAACCACCTTTTTTTTTGGGGGGGGGGGGTTTGTTTTTTCAACCATTTTTCTTGGAAGCAGAATGCCCGGCAGCAGCAGGTTTAGGACGCTGCACAAGGACGTGGACCTGGTCCAGGCAGGCGGAACATGGACCTCAAACCCAGCGGTGGGGGTCACGGGTGCCCTGGGCCGGGGGGCTGGGCCGGTGTTACAGCAACTCCTCCAGGATTTCGTTCATCCTGCAGCATGCCTGGCCGCGGCTGCAGCCACATCCCCTTGGGATGCTGTTGCTCACGCCCCTCAAATGAGAGCGGGACACAAGAGCTGCCCCAGGGCCCGGGCAGGGAAGGTGTTTTCCTTCCTCTCAAGATCCGCGGCACGGCTGGGCCAGTACGCAAGTCTCTGACCCGTGTCGGCACCACCCCCACGCTCTCCGGGCTCAAGACCAGCAGCATCATTCCCAGAACTTGTCCCCCTCGCCCCACAAACGTGAGCGGGAGGGGTCCCGAGCCCCAGTGGGAATCCCACCGAGCCAGAGGATTCCCCACCCAAGCGAGAGCTGGACCAAGAAAAATGCCATTCCCCAGAAAGGCAATAAACTTCATAACTGTTATAAATTTGCGCCACAACGGATCATAATCCAATTAAAATTTTATTAATTACAGCAAGTAGAATATGAGCAAAGTCAACCCTGGACGACAGAGGAGACAGCGCTCCACGAACTGATCCATTCAAACAGCCTCCTTTTATTCAAATTTTAATGGCGTCTCCTTTGTCTTCTTTTGTTTGTATAAGCAGTCTCTGGTGTAAGTGATTGTGGTTATCTTATCTTGCATCTTGCATAGGCAGTCTCGGTGTAAGTGATTGTGGTTATCTTACCTTGCATAAGCTGTGTCCGTTGGCTGTTTGCATATCCTCCGTTCCCTAACCTTATCTTAATAAACAATACCCTAGTCTGTAGTTTCTCACAATAACCTTCACATTCGCGGCGGCAGCAAACAGCTGCCGGGCAGAGCCAGCAGCAGGGAACAAGCTGGAGGGGATTCTGGGCTGATGTGAGGCGGCGGGGGCCGCTCCCGCGCGGAGCCAGGCTGCCGCTCCTCGCTGCTGTCACTCTCTGCGCTGCCCAATGTTATAAATTTGCGCCACAACGGATCATAATCCAATTAAAATTTTATTAATTACAGCAAGTAGAATATGAGCAAAGACAGCGCTGGACGACAGGGGAGTCTGCGCTCCACCAACTGCCGCCCTGATCAGTTCAAACAGTCCCTTTTTATTCCATTTTTCATGAAGTAGTGGGGTCCCCTTTTGTCTTCCTGGAATATCTTGCAAGCCAGTTCCTGGAACGTCTTGCAGTTATCTTATGTTTGCATAAGCAGTCTCTGGTGTAAGTGATTGCGGTTATCTTGTCTTGCATAAGCTGTGTCCGTTGGCTGTTTGCATATCTTCTGTTGCCTAACCTTTACATTGGGCTTAACATCTATCTTGATAAACAATACCCCAGTCTATAGTTTCTCACACCCAACAACCTGACCGGAACCGCGGGAGGCGGCGGGGCAGCCGAAAGCGGCGGAGCGGGCTCCGCGCATCGGGAACGGGCTCCGGGCCGGTGGGAGGCATCAGATGAAAAGCCAAGAAGATTTGTATACCACTGGAGGCTTTGGTACTTCCTTGGTGCTATCTTCTTTCCTCCTTCAATTTTTGGAAAGCTGTTGGTTAGAGAGAGTCTCTTGGGGATGAGCTCTGGGTTGGAGGGATTGTTGACATGATTGCCAGCTTTTCTTCTGCCTTCCCTGGCTCGGTGTGAGAAAGAGCTAGTGGATGTTGGTGCATTCAAAATTTAAGGCTTCTTAAAATGCCAGTGAGCAGGTGGTAGCTTTTGGCTTTGTTGTGTTCTGAGATTTGGCTTTTGAGCAAATGGTTCATTACAAAGTGTCTCAAATGTAATAATTTTCCATATTTTTAAGCTTATCTTACCACAAGAAATGGCCAAATGTATTTTCTTAATGTTGACAAATATTTCTAAGCTACTAACCAAGCCAATTTCTTTTCATGAGTTAAACCTGTGTTTATAGTGTAGACGTGTGACATAGGGGCAGAACATAGCTGACAAGTTAATATTCTGTATCTCAGAGAAAATTTTTGTTTTAATTACAAATATTACTTAAATATGGATTTTTGATAAGAAGGCATCTGCAACTTCAGCAACAGTGGAAGTAATGCTATACCCAACCATAAATGTAAAATGACGTTTATTTTGAAAGATCCCCTTCCAGTCAACTTCCACCACTGCTGGTTTTCTACAAACTCTGCTTCCATAGTGCTGAAGCAGAGCTCATGATTCCTCCATTGTAAGTAATCCATGCATAATTAGGGTGAAATATCAGTTTAATAAAGTGAATATAATGACTGAGTTTGAGCTCTATGTCAGCTGGGAAAGTTTCTGAGATTCTTTTCTCTAGATTTTCATAGAGTCAGTGTTGGAAGAATGTATGTCTGTTTTCAGACTTAGTCCTAATTTCATTAAACTGAGCATCATGCCATATGTTTTCTAATGTTATTTCATACAGAAGCTCTAACTTGAGAAATATTCCTGCTGAAATTTTTAGGTTTCACACTTGGAATTCAGGAAAGATTACTCCATTGAAAATAATATTTCAGAATTTAAATTTAGCATATTTGTTAATATAGTTACACAGTTGAACTTCTTAAACTTCTTGATTGGCATATATCTTACTGTGTTCCCTTTAGTGTGATATGGGCTCAGATTAGTAAAGAAGAACCATTTAAATTAATTTTCCTTGAGGATGTGTCTCTCTGTTGGCTTATCACTATTTTGTTAGTGCTACTAATTTGGTGGCAGCAGATGCCAGTATGGTGCATGGAACTTGATTGTCCCTGCATCACCACTCCAAGTCTGCCACTGTCCCAGACATGCTTGACAAAGTCTTTTAATTAGTTAGTATGTGTGAAAAATATTAACAGCTGCTCTGGAAAGCCAGCTCCAAAAAGCAACTTATACTTCAATGGAAAATTTTAATAGAAAACTTATATGTTAAAAGTGCATTTTTGGAAGCTGATTCCTGTAATTCCTCGCTAATGCCAATGACAGGTTACTGAAAATGTTCGGGCAAAACCAGCCATCAAATTTAACCAGTTTCATCTAGATCTAGTAATTATTTAACCCTTTAAGTAGTGCAATAGTATATAAAGTTTTCAGCAACTAAAAGAGAAGTGATAGTTCATCTGAAATTATCCAGTGAGAATATTCTCAGATTTCATCACTCAGCTATTTTACCAGTTCAACTTATTAGCATTTTTGAAAATGCCATACAATTATTATGAGTATGGAAATATTCTTAGACATTCAAGTTAGTCAAGAGGCAAAAGAAGTAAAAAGAAAAAAACAATCCAAACATTAAGGAAGATTAGGCCTTACTGAGTAAACCATAAAACTGAATGCACATTTACTTCTGCAGAACTGTCATCCTTTGCTGCTAAATGTCTGATTTCCAAATCCAAGTAGGATGGGAAGTACAAGGATTAGATAAACTCATTACGCCTTTTTTCCCTGTCATAGTCTTATGGTTCAGATCGTGAAAGTCCAGCATCATTGTTACTTTCAAAGTAGCCTTTCCAGCAGCAAGGGAAATGTCATGAAATGCATTAACAAAGCTCAGAGAAGTGCAGAAGCACTTTAATGAAGTGTATGTCTTTGTGTATGTCATTATCTTTTTGTCCAAACATAAATTAAGTTTTCATTTCAGATTGTTGGTACTTTATGCATTAGTTCTCACATTAGTATGTAGAAGTGGAAGCTAACTTAGTCCATGGCAATGATTCATATTCTGTCCAAGGAACAAACATTTTTTGATGGGACTAAGGACTGAAGCATATTAATGCAGTTGAAATATTCCACCTCCCAAAACAGGCAGAAAAAGAAATGTTCACAAGGAATAAAACTAGAAAAGCTAATCTTGCTATCTGTGCAAGTACCATAAAAAGGCAGGTGGGGTGCATCTGTATTGTCTGGCACAGTGTGCTGTCTGGTTTTTGACAACTGGAGTGTACAAGCACATTGGAGCAGGAGGTTCTGGCTGTCTGGGATGTGCTGTTTCCCCTCACCTGGTTCCTGGTAGCAGGAAGGGGGAAACCTTCAGTTTTGCTGTCCACTGAATACAACACAGGAGTGAGATTTTTTATGCCTTTGGTCATTAGAAGATCCTCACACCTTTGAGAGGATTAAGAGAAAGTGATGATGAGATTTGTGGCAGGTTTCAGGAGTATGCTCACTATGTTCACCTGACAAGTGAGAAGTGGGTAGAGAAAATATGTAACAGCTGGTCTGTGAACATATATTTACACGTACCACATTTTGCTGTGGCTGCACAGCCCTCTTCCCATCAGATCAGAGCTTTGTCCACTCCAAGTGGTTTAATTCCATTTCCTCTGTAAATAACAGTAATTAGTTATGGTTTCCTAGAGCCTCAGAAGAATACAATTGAGAATTTTTTTCTTTGCGTTGTTGCTTATTTTTTCTCTGAGTCTGCTGCACTAAGTAGCTGTTCCTAGTCAAAAGGCTCTTGCAATGCATGAGGGAGACAGATGTATTTCACCTCTGATTTCAGTGATTTCCATATATAAGAGGAACCTTGGAGATGTCTGTGCATGAAATGAATGCAGCTGCTCAGGTTGTTTGTAGTGGCCTACAGCTGGCCTGTAGGCCTCAGAGTATAAATAATTACAAATGTATAGTGGAAATATATATAAAAATATATATAAAAAATAATTACATAATAACCTTACTTACATAATTTGACTGGTAAGATCAGGCCCAGGCCGTTGGGGACTCAGGCTTCTATGGGCTGGTTGACCAGGAATTAACTGGCTCAGCCAATGAGAACTAACCTCATGAGCTCCTTAGGTATATAAGAAAGCAAGATCTGAATAAAGTGAACTGTTGCTGCATGAACTCATTGTGTCTTGTCACTGGTCTGTCTCCAAAATTGCGACAATTGGTGGACCCTGATGTGATCACAACAGCTACTGCCAACAGAGTGGGGAGACAAGATGGGGCAATCAGGAAGAGTTGCCCGCAGCCTTCAAGCTGCAAAGAACAGTGTCTAGAGCTGTGATTGGTCCAGACTCCCTTTTATTTTTTTTTTTTTTTTTAATATTTTTTTTTAAAGTAGAAGACTCTGTCAGCATGGGAGCATGGGCTTCAACACCGGAGGACCCCCTCCTGAAGGTATGGACTCCCATTCTAAAGAATAGATTTCAAAAATATGAGGAATGGGCTTCATTAACCCTAATAACATGGTGTGAGAACCACGGACTGGATGTATTGAAGTGATATGCAGAATAAACAAATAGATTCCACAACTTGGGGTAGTTATGAAGTGGGTATATATTGACAGCACCCAGCACAAGTGAGATAGCTCTCCAAGACTTGTGCACTGAGCGTTAGTCTGACCCAAACCTTTATTCACAAAGGTGTTCCATATGCAGTACATTACACAACTTTTCCATGCATATTCAACCTCTGGCCCCACCTGTCCTCGCCTCTCATGTTAAATAGGTCCACAGCCTTCTAGGCATGAGTGGTTTACTGTGGTGGTCATACGGGGGTCCCTGGTGGTCTCTTGGGCTGAAGATCATGGTATTCCTCATGGTTAAACTTTTTAACTTTTCTCTGCGCGTGCGCTTTCAGTCTTTTGGTGCTTATCTGAGTACCGTCTGTCAGTCTCGGTAGGCGTAGGGGCAGAGGAGCCTCTTTATCTGGGTTCTGTGTATTTTCAGTCCTCTTTTGGTATTGTTCTTTATGCAAGAAGCTTCAGAAATTTGCATTTTCTTATGCCCTTTTGTACCTTGGCAGAGGTTTCTTAAGTAAAAGGTTAAAATTCAACACATAACTCTACAAGCTAGAATATAAATGCTTAATTCATTTTGTTAACTTAAGTGAACTCCAAAAATCTCTTTCAGTATCAGAAGGGGCTGCCCTAGATTTGAAAACTTGGGAGCGTGCTGGCCT